CAGTGCCGAGGTTTCCTACGATGGAGCTAATCGTGGGGAGCGGATAGGCATCCTTACGAGTCACTCCGTTGAGACGGCGATAGTCTACGCACAGGCGATGACTGCCATCTTTCTTAGGCACCAACACAATTGGAGACGCCCAGGCGCTGGACGAACGGCGAACAATGCCGGATGAGAGCATCTCGTCCAGCAAGCCGTCAATTACCTGCCTCTTGGCCTGGCTGACGGGCCTGGGGTTACACTTCAAAGGAAGCGCGTCGCCAGTTTCGATCGAATGGCTCACCAAATCGGTACAGCCGGGTTGATCGGTGAAGAGCTCATCGTATTCGCGCAACAGTGCCGACAAACGAGCCTTCTGTGTATCATTCAATTGAGTCGCACAGGCGATCAAAGGATGCGGAGCCTCTTCGTGTCGTGCCGCTCGATCCCGATGGGGATTTTCAGCCGACGAGTGCATAGCGCAGGGGCCTGCCCCCGAAGTTTGCACGTGACACGGTTTCGACGCTTCGACTGCACAGGCAACAGAAAGCGCCGGAGGGCTGATGAACGGCTTTAGCTCGGAAAAAGGTCCGTCGCGATAGCCTCCATTCGCAATGTCCACTACGATACCGGTTTTTAGGAGAAAGTCCCGACCGAGAATCACAGGAACACTGAGCCCTGGAAGATGAACGAAACGCGCGCGTCTCATTCGGCCTCCCCATCTGACAGTCAACCTCGCGGCGCCCGCCGACTGGGCCACGCCTTTCGCGAGGGTGAATGTCGTTCGGCTGTCCCGCAAGCGCACCGAGCGCTTCTGCAAGTGGGACAACACCTGTTCGCCAAACAACGAAGCGCTTGCGCCCGTGTCCAGCAACGCCGAGAATTTGCGACCGACAATGGTGACCGAAATAAACGGCGCGTGCGCACCAGAAAGACTGCTTGCCCGATACGCAGAGGGGAGAAGCAAGGGTTCGGCCGCTCGTGCCTTCACGAACGGCCCGCGCTCCCGTTTCCCTGCCTCACAGGAGGCACAAACGCGGAGCACTCCCTCGCTATGTGCCCTCGTTGACGGCAGCGGAAACAGCGCACTCCATCGCGGTCCCTTTCCCGCGACGGAGCAGCTGCGAGCTGCCGGGGTGGGTTCGCCGCGTGATCAAAGGAACCGCTCTGACGACCGTTACCACCGGTGATGCACTGGGTCGGATTTCGTCCCTGCTCGCGCGCGTCGAGTTGCGATGCAGCACCGGCTGCCCGCCTCCCGTACGTGTAGGGATCTAAAGCTCGATCGCTTATCTCCCACGCGCGCCCAGCTGTAGGGGTAGCCGCAAAGGCAGCTCCGGCGGGCTGTTGCCGCTGAGAAAGGGTCATGGCCCCTCCCCACGCGCAGCGCGGTTCGAGGGCCTCGCTGGCTGGCGGTGGCGGGTGATAGGAACGCGCGGCGAGAATGTCGCCTTGGATGCGCTTTGCCTCGACGGCCAATTGCTCCAAATCACGAAAGCGACTGCCGCGCAGGTACGCCGAAAAAGTCGGGTGTGCCTGCCTAATCACCCGTTCGACGCGCTCCTCGTTCGAGGCTCTGGGCTCAGCGATAGAAAAAAGGTCTTCCATCGCGCGTACGTACTCCTGAAGCGACTCATCAGGAGCTTGTGTGCGGAGCTCGAGCTCGCGCCGCATCCTACTCTCGTAGTCAGCGGGTAAGAATTCGCGCAGGAAGGCCGCGCGGAACTCATCGAGGGTTGCTGCTCGGTGGCCGGAAAGCCGATGCCACCTGGCCGCCGTGTCAGTCAGTGCTGCCGGGACGACGCGTCCGAGCACTTCCTCGTCGTCTAGACCCATGGCTCTCTGATAACGTGCGAGGGAGTCCAGGTAATCTCGTGCACTTTGCAGATCACCATACCCGCTGTAGGTCGGAACGGCCAACGTGACAGCGGGATGAGGGCGTTTTGGAATGGCCGAAAGCGTTTGGACTGCCCCCGTGAGTGCCCGAATCATTTGGGCGGCATTTTGCAGCAGCGTCTGTGCGCCCGCTTCAAAGGAAGCTGTCGGTGCATTAGCGGCGCGGGCGAGCGATGGGGAACTGTCTCCAAGCTCGATAAGCGGCGCGGTTTCAAAATGGATACCGGCCGTCGCGACTCTGGGGAGCGCCTGTTTTTCACAGCCGACTCTTGGGGCAGCTTCACGTGAAAATGCTAGGCCGCTTGCGGCTAGCGGTGCAGGCGCGTGCTCGAAATGAGCTTGGCTGCTAGGTTGCGTAGCAGCCAGCGGGCAAAATTCGGCAACGGCTGAGGCCGCGGTGCCGATCTGCGCCCCGGAAGCTCCACTGAGAGCCGTTTCGGAGCGCTGTGACATGGAACTACCATGCATTCCAAACGGAGCAGTAGTAGTCCATGTCCTTGTGCACTGTTCGGGTTGGGCTATGGCCCCGGACCCAAAACGCGCTACCTCTCCAATGGGAGCTGATACGTAGCGCCTCGTGTCATCCCGACTGGGGCTTGTGACAAGTGAGGGTGCGCGATTGTGATGCTCAAGGGGGGCACTGGCCCTGTTCTCGAGCAATGCGGTATCTGCTAAAAGTGTCAGCGGACAGAACTCACGCGGAGCGGACATAACGCGGGTAAACGCGGCGAGTCTGATTCGCAAAGGCGGGCTGACTCGGCTAAGACTAATCAAAGGCTTAATGAGCCTTTGATACCGCGTTGGGCGCCAGTATGGTGACCCCGCTCCTAACTGCAGCGGACGATCACCGCGGGTTCACGCTTAGCGAGCCACAGGGCCGCTACTCCGTTTACTCGCGTATAGCGCACCGCTCCGCGCGCTCAACTGATAAGGCGTTTAGCACGGCGCGGCAAATAGACAGTGTTCTAATGTAACAGTACACAACACTTTATTGCCACTGGCGGCACCCCGAACAACAGCACAATGTCCGCTCCCGGGACGCGGGTAGCAAAAGCACCCGCACGCGGACGTTCACAATAAGGGGAAAACCGCGAGCACGTCGCAGCTGGCAATGGCGAGCTTTGACACGCCGGTCGGGAAAAGGTCCCTCACGGCTATGCTGCGCACTCTCACGATGGCCACTGGGCCCGGTCGCGAGTGTTAGGGCAAACCTCGTACGCGCTGGGCCTACGGCAAGTGCGGCTCGTTGTGGTACGACCACTTCAAGCACTAGGCACCGCTGTGGGCTTAGCGTACGCTACCGAAGCTAGCACTCAAGTAAACACGCCTGCCGAGATGCCCAAGGCCACCCCAGGCAGGCTGCAGTCCGGCGATTCCCAAAGGGGACGCGGACGAAGGAAAACACGTGCTTACCCGGCGCCGTCCACGGAGAAGAGAGCGCTCCCTCAGCGCGCGCAGTAGCGCGCGCCGTGCCCGCACGTGGCGCCATCTATCGCCACGTGGTGTTAACAGAGCAGGAAAGCGAAAGGGTGTGGCCGTGTGGCGGAATGCCCGCGAAATGGTCGCGGGCGCGCCTCAGATCCCCACATCGTGCAAGTAAAGAATCGCTGAATCTCTGTCGATACGCAGCATTCACAACCACATGAAGCTGATCGTTCCTCGTGTGCAGCATATTGCCAACTAAGCTGACCCCGTCACCACCTGGGCACTTGCCGCATTGTACACACGCATCTGTAATGAAAGTGTTTGTGATGCCGTTCCCAACCGCACACGGCCATAGCAAAGGCGAGCTGCATACGTTCGTGATGGCAGCCCGTCTGTACGGTGCATTTAGTGGTATTGCACGAAGAGGCGGTGTGAACGGCGGCACGTAGTGTTATACCGTCACAATGTGGGGGTGCTGGCACCCCCTGTAAAGTTGTTTGTGCCGTGTGGCGCACGTGCCTCGCCCAAAAGCCACATTTCGGGTTACAACAACCGGGTGGTAGGTGGCGTTGATTACCACTGTCATCATCATCATGGTTGTGACAGTGGTAGCGCCAGTAGTGACCCTTGGTGGAAGGCAAGCCTTGATGGCGGGTGAGAGTTGAGCGAGCCTCTTCTGTGCGTGGCAGCTGCCGCAAACGGTTGTCTCCAGCGTGGGTGCTCGGCGCATGGCACCGCAGGCCTGAACGCCTGGGGGCCCTCGTGGTAAGTCAAGCGTTGTCGACGCTGCCATGGGTGTGTTATTGTGTGTTTGTCATGTTTGTTTTGGAGTGTATGGAGATTGTGTGTAAGGATGTCTTAGTGCGCTGATTACGACTGATGTATCATTCAGCGGATGATATTGTCGTTGAAAATTACTTAAATAAATGTATGTACGTTATTTGGTTTGTACCAACCACGTGTGCTGTGTCCGTTCACTCCAAGGGCGTGGTGTTCGCTCGCCATATCCAGACCCTACAACGTACACCTATTACTAGCTGCACCAGGCTACACGAACTGCTGAGCAGTGAGCTGAAGATGCTTATCAGAAGGGTTGTTGAAGATTAAGCGGTACTGGCACATTTGCAACCTGCCGCCATCACGCCTTCATTCATTTTTCAGTGCTTATACGTAAAGACAGTGCCGTGCTGCTGCATCACACTCTGGCATTGCAACAAAGCTGCCTTTCACGCTCTGCTACGGTAGTCGAAAGTGTCATTAGCATCGCATCGGTTGCCCCAAATCATGTACATAAACACAATTCAGCCTCTGCATTGCCCCATTCTCGATAAGGCAACTGAAGACCATTAAGCCTCCAGTACTTCACCATTATCTTTGGCAAAAGAATGTTGCTGTCTTATCAGAATATGCTTAGAGAACCTCTGCAACTTTCTTTATGTACTTTCACTTTGAATCATTTGAAAAATGTTCGAGAATTATTCGATTCACAATCAAACTTTCATAACCGAATTCGCTTTGCTCTCAAAATTTTGCTAAATATTTGCTCAGCTCTACTTTATATGTACACTTGTTCATTTTGAATACTTTGAAATTTCTAATAATATAAATTCGTCTTGAAGGAAGTTCGAATAATGTAATACTAATTAGAATACTCAAAGTACTCGAAGATTCGCACATGCCTACAAATTACTGACACCTACCTGTTGGCAATGATCTCATTCCAAAGAAGCACAGAGTCCGCGTTACTGGGAAGTCTAGAGTGCCAGCTTGACACCAAATCGTCGGCACTATCAGAACCTGTAAAATAAGCATTCAAATTTCTACTTTAGTAAGACATTCTGATAAGCTAGATGGTTCGCAGCTTTTAGATGTCGTCAAAATGCTCGAAAAAAAAAAAAAAAGAAACGCGCCAGGCCTGCACAGAACGCGCAGCACAGTCACAGCAAAAGCTCGAAAAGCGGCCTTTCAGAGCTTTTGTTAAACACTCATTGGGTAATTGCTACAAGCACACTTGCAGGGTACCCACTACACCAAAAATCGTCCTAATTTTTTGTGTGATGATGATGACGACCTCATAGAGATGGCGCTCACCCACAAATGGGGATGGGCCAAGAACTAAGTGGCAGGATGTGTGACATGGAGGCGATCACTATGCCATTTTTCGTCATTCTTGGAAGGGGCATGGTACCTGCTACACACTTGGAAGGAGTTTCGTGCAAATTTTTCATGCAGTGGCTGACGAAGATGACTAATTATGCCTGAAGCTCTCGTAATGAATTGGAACATTTAATGAGCCACTTGTTACGCTATTTGCATTGTGCGACCCTTGGTTGTTGCTTTGCTGTTCTAAAACGCTTTATCACTCACATTAATGCGATTCCTCTTCAGACATCAAGCCTGCCTGAGGCCAGTTTGCAACGAAATTTCAAGCAGCGGCGTGGCTCTGCGGTAGAATATTCGTTTGGCACCCAGGAGACCGGGGTTCGATCTCTGTGTCCTTGGTGTGTTTCTCATTTACTCACTTTTTTTTCCTATTTCACGCGATAGTCGTTACGGACACTGGCAGCGGCGAACAACTACTACGGTGCACATGACCCATGCTGCGAGAACAGGGACAGAACCAAGAAACGTACAGAACACCACAAGCGCAGACTGTCATCTCTGAGTTAGCACTCGTAATATTCTGTATATTCCTCACTTGGGTCCAAGTTTTTTTTTTTTGCAGTTTAATGATGTCTAAAGGTTTCTACCACTTTGAATTGTATGCAAAGGGAGCAAATAATGGATGTAATGTAAACCAATAAAAAAATTTAAGTGAAGGCAATAAATGTTTTTAACACTGCACAACAAGGTTGACACCTTGTTGCTTTGTTACACAACAAGGTTGACAGCTCCTTGCTTTTCCAAGATTGAAATGGCCACTGGGAATGTAGCCACACACACAGGAAAGATATCGAACTACTAATCGAATTAAAAAGCAAGCAAACAAAAAGAGCGAAAGTTGACTTCCTGACTACAAGTTAAGTGATTTAGCACAGATTTTTTTCTTTTTCGAAACGAGAGAGATTTTTTTCAAGACATCCGTGTCTGTACAATTTGCCTGCTCCAGTTCTGAAAAAAATATGCGCTAAATTACCTCACATATGCCGTACTAACAAGACCAGAAGCCAGCCCTTGCTAAATCTTGATTAGGGATATGAATATTGGAGTGCAAAATTAGTAGTTTTTCAAGGTGGATCAAATAATGTGAACTTTTTGAATAGTTCCCGAAATGTTTATCAGTAAACGTAAAGTATTCATGCGTTTAATGAATACGGTATTAGAAATACACTCAAACCTCATTATAACAAAATAGCACATTACATGAAAATAAGTTTGTTATATCCGAAAATTCGCACTGAAGGTATAATCCTAACAATATATCTTTTGCAAGACTACATTTCATTTACTTGGTTAAAACCAATATTTCTTTATATCCAAGTTTGTTATATCAACGTTTGAGATAACTAAAAATGCACGGTAGCACTGCTTTCCAGTTTCCTTCATACGAATCAGTTCTTTATAACACACATCTAAATCTAACCAAATCACCATCTTTACCTTCACCTTAAACAAAATGTGACAACTACTGGAATGAAATCAAGCATTGATTGATATCTGGAGTTTAATGTCCCAAAACCACCATATGATTATAAGAGACATTGTAGTGGAGGGCTCCAAAAATTTCGTCCACCTGGGATTCTTTAACATGCACTGAAATCTAATCTTTAACGTGCGCCGAGCGTGTCAACAGTGTCCGTTCACTCCGAGAGCGTGGCGCCTGCCACTTCGAGACCCCACAATCGTAACACTTTGTATTGCCCTTGTACTTCCCATGCTTTCAGATGAGAGAGGCACTATCGAGAATAATATAACTAAACAAATAAATAAAATATTATAACGAGGAATGACTACACTAATGGGCAAAGGATATTTCTTGTACACCTTGTTAATGACGTGCACGACACAAATGTGATGAAGTTAGGCGAGCATCTCATGTTGAGAACGTACGGGGTGACTTACGCTTGAGGTGGTTCAAGTACAACGTGAGGTCGGTGAGCGGGAGCAGGCATTCCAGCTTGCCCTCGATAAGAGCCGGTGTCAGGACGCTCAGGCTGCTCCAATCCTGGAAGCGTTGAAGATAAGCATGGGCAAATACAGTAGACTCACGATAATTCAAACTCTGATAATTTCTAGTTTCAGTTATTTAAACAAGACTCAATTTTTTGGTTGGCCCTCGTTGTTTCAATGTACTTGAAAGACTCTTAAAGTTACTCCATCATTCGGTTAATTCATACTTTTTGCACTTCCGTACCAGAAAATATCTGCTGCTTTCCCACTACTATTTAAAAATTTGCATGTTCATATAACCCGAAAAGTCTAAAATTGAAAAGTAAGCACCTCAGACCTTTGAGGAAAAAGGCTTTGCTAGTGAACAAATGTTTGAAACGAAGCACATGCATGATCAACCGTGATGCTTCTCAACTGGTCAAATGGTATAGAGAGCTTTGTGCTGAAGGCACATATAGCAGAGAAGCAGTTGGTAATTCAACATTTCTTTAAAAGGTCTGATAAGCAGTGAAGTGCTGATAAACTTGTGGACCTTACACCTCTGTTTTTTGTTGATTGCGTGCAGTTAGGTTTGACAATTGCTTAAAAAACAATTTTAAATCTGATAAAATCAATGCCTAATCATAATGTGTGATGTTGCCTCACACACAGTCATATATCTGAGAACTTCTCATAATTCAAACTTATTGATAATTCAAACAAAATTCAGAGGTCCCTTCAAGTTTCAATCAGCGAGAGTCAACTGTACACGATCATTTTGAATATTCCAACAAAAATAGGACTATTCAAATTTGTTTTGGCCTGAATATACATTATTTGAAATATTCAAGTACAGTACAAGCTCGTTCATTTGTTCCTCACAAATTTTGAAAATCAGATTAGTCGGACATGCTTTCTGGTCCAGGCCAGCATATGAATTGTTCAATGGCATCAAGCTTTTGTTAACTCAGTCACATTTGGCTGCAACCCGGTTAATTTAGACGATTCTCAGGGTGCGCCAAGTGCGAAGCTCTGGAAATGTCCTACCTAAAATAATGAATGAAAATGGCGTTCACAGACAATCAAATTGAAATTGAGAGTCCACATTCATCAGTTTCGAGAACGGTTTTGCGAGCCATGCGGATCCGGTGCTCTGAAGCTCCTTCAAATCGAAACTGAGACTGGTGGGTAATGAGAAGCCGGTAATGAGTTATCTGTCGCACTCTGCAGCAAAAAAGAGCGAAGCCAGAATTTAATGGATCAATAGCCCTTTAAAGACGGCTGAAAATGTGGCCCCACGTTTGTTAACAGTACTCAAGAAACGTATCTCTCTCCTACCTCCAGAAACTGTTCTGTAAGGCACTTGATGTAGTAGTCGGCCCGGCAAGTGTCCTTCTGCGACAGGCTCAGAAGAGCAAGTTCCTGGCAACATTCTACCTGTAAAGTAACAAAACAAACTAGGCAAGTTTTGTGCTATGAAAACTATTGAAAAGTGAAGCTCTAAGTATGCGATGGCTAGTGAGACCACATGGCGTCGTAAATTTCCTGCTTGATTTGTAATATGCATGTGTAATCTTGATTTGGCAAAGAGAGATCACATGACCTGCTGGGTCAGGCAATGGTGTTTCAGCGAACGAGATTTGCCGGTGGCGTTAGTGGAATTATGCCAAATGCAGGCTTCCTGTTATCTACATCACCATCTTAAGCAACCAGGTGCCTTCCCTTGGTTTTGTTACAGTTATTGTAAGACTAATTATAGCAATCAATGAATGCACGAGCTGCTTTCGGACTATTTTGTATCGAAAGTCATCAACATCATTCCTTTGTTTTATTTCTTAATTTTCTCTCCATTCTGATCACATGACCTGCATGAAACCTACTACCACTACTACCAGTATCACTACTACCACTACCATTACTGCCACTACTACTCCTATGAGTACTACTACTACAGTCGAATCTCAATATTTCGAACATGCTTAATTTGAAGTTCCAGTTATTTAAAACTCTCGCTGAGGTCCCGTCAAAGCTATGTGTATTCCAATGGGTGAAAATGCCCTGTAATTCAAACGTGCAAGCAATTGCAACAGTTAATTCGAACATACTGCGTTCTAGAAATGCTCTCAGCACCACGCCTAATTCCACGGAAATATTTCCGACACATCAATGCTGCGTGCGAAAGAAAAGAAAAGACTGCGGTGGAATGTTTGCTCTCTCTCAAATGCCGATCTGCGACACGCCTGTGTCACGCTTCTCCCTTTTTCGTCCCTGCCACGTAGAGACCCTTCTCCTTTAAAACGCCGGACGTGAAGAGCGAGAGAAAACAAAAGGGAAGTTGTCGCAGAGTTTTACCTCTCTCTCAAATGCCGGTCTACTTCTCTCCACGTGGAGACGCTCCCCCTTTCCCCTCACGTGCTGGCCACGCTGCAGCTGCGGCGCAGAAGGTAGTAACGGAGACGCAGTCATTGTTGTCGCCGTCTATAGAAAGTGTCGGCGCTGAACGTTGCCGCGCGCAACTTCTCTTGCCAGGAGAATGCTGAAGCCGAAGTAGAAATGTTTTGGAAGCTGCGCGCAAAATCAATTGACTCGCTGAAATTCAAACAAGTGCTGACGCGCATCACCGATCACTTTAATTAACGGCGGATGTCCTGTGATTTGTGAATAAATGTAAGTCTTCTGAAACTTCCCCCTCGAGTGTTTGCTAAATGCACACGCGCCACTGCATAGTGAGCCCTCTGTTCATTTAGCTTTCATTAATTCAAACTTTTAATTTGAACGAATTTTCAAGCTCCTTCGAGTTCGAATTATTGAGATACGACTATACTACTACTACTACGACAATAATGTCACAAGGTAGACTAGGATGGCTTTATTGTTGAAAAAAAAACAACTAAAGCTGGCATAATGTTACATGGCAAAGAATTGTTTTGTCAATAACTCCACAAGTTCATTGACAGTGTTAGTGGGCTTGCCTCTAAAAAGCGGTTCCTGCTCGAGTCCTCCATCCACTCCCGTACGACGCTCGGGAAGCCCTGCTGATTGTCGTCTTCGCCGAGAATGCTCTTGACACGGGCTTTCACATAAACCGGCAAGTAATGCTCCTGTGAATTTGCAAATGAAAGTGGGATACACAATGCAGTGCCAAAAAATATTTTTGGTAAAAAGCAATCACTTTCGCTGCTAGGCCGAAGCAATGAAACGAAGGAGATAGCAAGAGTTGGGAAGGTCACGCAAAGAACGACAAGCAGCTGGATACTTGCATCGGACCGCTGAATTACAAAGGAGGATGTTTGAAAAGATATGCACATGTATACGCAGGACAAGCTTGAATTAACGAGTCAGTCAGTCAGTCAACAAACCTTATTTGGGTCTCGTGAAACTACGCAGTCGTAGTTGTGTGCTGCGTCCACGTTGGGGCCGGAAAACCATGGTCGTCCGCCCGTTCGCGGGCCTTTCCAACAGCCCTTAGTTGTTTACGGAGATCGCCGCTTCTGAGGGCTTCCTCCCAGTTCTCTTGTTTATTAAATGAGGCATTTTGTAACACTGAACATTGCCAGAGCGTGCGAGCTATCGAGCAATACTCTTCATGGCACTCAGGGCAGTGTGGATCGATGTCCAGAGCGAGTTAATGAGTGTCGCAGTTGTTACGCCTTTGTGTTTGAGCAACGTGCTGCAAGTGATGACAATGCGAAACCCGACACTCCGAGATATTTATTTTCCTTTTAAATTGTGGCGCGCGTTCTGGCCCCTCAGTGTCTCTTGCCACACAGTGGCATCTGACCCAAGGTGTGCCTGGTGTGCATTTTTTTTTTCCCTTCCACATCACGAGTGGGTATGGAAAGGGAGCACTTTTTCGTGCACATCAGCTGAGCAGTTTTCAAGCTGGAAGCAAATGCAAAAGCACTAAGCGACAGAAAACACGATCAAGCTCCACAGAAATTTGCATACTGCCAGCAGCAAATGATGTATACGAATAGCTCGCCGTTTGTAGGCTGACACGTGCATAGCGCATGGCTGAGTTGAGCAGTGTGCTGCAGAGAGAAATCTCGCTAGTTCGAATCCTTGTTTGGCTGCTTAAAAATTTTTTCTTCCGATTTATTTTCTTTGTCTTTTTTTATATATATACATACATATACATATCCGCGATGTGACAACGACGACAACGGCAAAAATACGCCGCTTGTGTCTATATAATTGCCCTAGCAATACAAAAAGAGAAGCCCTACTCCTATTAGAGAAATGGGGGCAAACGAAGTGTGTGTGCCTGACCTGGTCCAATGCTCCTTCCCATGGTGCAGTGCTCCTTCCAAGCATTTTCCTTCCTCCGTACCAAGAAAAGGACCATCATAAGGTCTGTTCCAATTCGTCTGCACCACTTGAAGCAGTTTAAAAACGTTGCACCTTGCCATTTGTTCTAGTGGTGTAGCAAAGGTGACCTGTGAGCCGCATCATTTCAAAAGGTGCTGGAGAGATGCAGCATAGAGGCTCCTAAATATACACTAGAGGAAATTATAGCACTAGTGTCTATGGGAGCTGCAAAGCATGGCACTTCAGCGAGCATGGGATTGATGGGAAGTAAACGGATTTGTCTAATCTTCATACTTGTGGCTCCGTGAGTGTTTGTGTGGCTTGAAGCTGTTTTCTGAAAAAACAAAAATCAGCAAATTTTCAGCGGTTGCACTTCATTACCTTATTCTTTTAGGCTTACCATTTCAAATCAGGTCACAAAGTTCAAAAGGGTCCATTCTTTCCTTCGAAACAAAACCGAAACACAGCCTAAACGAAGCCAAAAGTGCGATTCGCTGCCCGCAAGTACGAAGACTAGGCAAATCCGTGTACTCCCCATCATTCCCATGGTCGCTGAACGATCGCAGCACCAGAGTCCCCTCTAGTCAATTTTAAGAAACTCTATGAGGTTCAGTGCTGATTTACGATTTCCTTGCACTCCCTGTACTGACGTTCCGGCCTAATGCCGTCCTGCACGTTTGCACCAGCAGCTGAGCAGACAACGCAGCATTCGGGCGTAGGTGCCGTGCACATGTCTACCGACGTGGTGTGTTTCGCCAAGGAGGCTGCACCTCGTAAGCGGTTCATATAGGCAGTTTGCCACTTCTCAATGTTATGTCAAAGCGAACGAAAGTGAGGCCTGCACCGTGTCGGAACTTTGTCATTTGTGTCTAATGTTCAGTTGCCTGCAGCACTGAAATCGCACTGCAGACATTCTGAACTTCAATGTGCATCGCTGTGAACCAGTTCCGCTTGGTGCAGGCAAATCAAATGGACCTAATGTGATAAGCAGTGCAACACTTTGGTTGATACAGGCAATAACAATGGCCACATGTTCGAATCTAAGCGAAAATTAGATGTAGAGTCGTGAAAAGGAAGTGACCTTGATAAAAGATCAAATTGCCGTATCAGATATGGCTGATCATCAACAAATACATGACTGGGAAAGCATCAAGTATTAAAAAAACAATGCCGAACAATATGCATGTGACCAATGCACCTCAAAAGGCTGCATTTCTGTTTATTTACCAGCTTTGGGTTTTTTGTGTACAGCGCACCACTGAAGCCTGTAGCTCATAACAAGGTCCGCTTGAGAGAGTTTATCATACCTCATGCATAGACTTGCAAGGCGACATTTAGGCACAGTGTTTGTACCAGCTACAACAGAGTGACTATCTGGCTAGCAACTGCTTTACGTTTAGGGGTGTACTGTCGGGGCAAACCCCCTACATGCGGTACTGTGACAAAATCACCGGTTACAACTACTTCTTCGACATGTGAACTTTGTCTAGAGCCAAAAATTTTTTAGAAGCTCAGAGCCAAGCCCAGGATACCATTAGTCAGTGATCTTTAGAAAAACTGGCCGGCCAATAAATAAATGGCCAGTAATTCATAGCATTGTAATATATAGCTCAGCTAAAGGAAGTTTCAGCTGTGCAGGTGAAAATGTGTGCTATATAATTTAGTGCAACACAGTGTCTTCTGATTATACCTTACGAAATATGACCTGAATGTCTTGCGACAAGCATCGCAGATTTGTGTTTATTTAGCGCTGAGTGAGCGGAGTGACACCTCTCCGTGACCAGTGCCCGAGGCTCATTACCAGCGCTTCTTACCAAAATAAAATCAAGCGTTGTATGCCACCCACTGGATGCATAAAAAAAAGGTGCGCTGATATTATGTAAATTGAAGTAGCCATAAGTCCACAAGTTCTATTAGTAATTTTCTAAGTAGCCATTACATAGAAAGTGCTCAAAAACACTACAAAATCCATGAAGCGAAGTGGTCTCGACTGAAACACTAGCTCAGAATGCACAGCCCTGCCTGAAAAGGATGAAACAGCATAGTAAATGTATCAATTCGGTTGCGTGTAGCTTTTCTGTACAGCACACTGGACATAACGAACCAAATTTATTATTTAAGCAGCTCATGCAGTGACCCCTGGAGGGCAGAAAGAGGAAGGGGGAGGGGTGTTTCCAACACTAACCTGCCGATAACCTCCATCCCAGAGGCTGTCCAATGTCGAAGGGCTGCACTGTTCTAGCCTTGCGTCGACTTCATTCTGGAGTTCCCTCCACTCGCCCAGAAGGCAGCAGCACTGAAAAATTTACATGCCTGTAGCTGTAATTACCTCCCGCTGAAAATTCTGTCAATATAAACGCTGAACAAATATGGCTGCATGTCCATACGAAAACGTACAATCTAACATGTCCAATTCAAGAGAGAGAAAAAAAAAATGGATCACGCCATATCCACGAAGTAAATGATGATGAGTGGGCAGAGCTCCGGAGGTAAATCTGGCAAACCGTACATCCTCCGACATTACAAAGGCTGCAAATGCTATTGCGGTGCTCATACAGTGTAATAAAGTTTTATACTAACAGATTTAAATTTTTGGGTACCTGAAGTATGGCGTCGTCCCAAGTGAAGCCATCTGCACCATGAGGTCTGCTTTCAGCAAGCTGAAAAAAACAAAACGAATGAAATTTTGGCAGTCGTTTTCAGCGCGGCATGCCCAAGTGTTAAAAATGTCAAATGTGGGCCTGGAAAAAAAAAGGATAGCTGCTGCTGTTTGAAAGACATTTACACATGTCCCAATAATCTGAAAGGCTATCACAATCTGCATGCACTTTCACTGCAGGCTGTTTACGCTTCCCGATAAGCTAAAGCATATATATCGGGCAGCCCTCCATGTCTGCGAAGCACGAGAAGTGCCGAGTTTTTCCCACAATAAATGACATTTAAAAAAGTGACAGCCTAGAGAATTCCCAAAAACGACATTAGGAAGTTATGTACTAAGTGGTTGGGCTGCAACTACGGTAAATCATTCTTACTTTAATTAAAGCAAATTACCTATTAGTAAGACAGCTATAGTGTAGTGGGGAATAGGGAGGGAGACAGTATCTAGTTGGAGCACCTGAAAGACGACTACGATGAAGAGCTGAGCTCGTGACAGTGACTGACGCCTCTTGACCAGGCAGTTGGTTTTATTCAATAAACCCCCTTATATTTTGGTGGAGGTGCAGGGTAGTCTTCGAAGCTGGAAATACTAAGTCGCACCTTACCTGCAGTGCCAGCAATGCCGGAAGAACCCTCCACCCAAGGTACCTCGCAAGTTCCCTCCTCTACATGTCCCGGCGTGTGGCCACTGCGTCACCCACCGATCTTCAGCGGCACCGACGGCCAAGACGTTGAGGAGTGGCTGGCTACTTACCACAAGGTGAGCGCAGCGAACAAGTGGGACGATGCGGCTAAGCTGACCTATGTAAGCTTTTACTTGTCCGGCGTCGCTAGTCTCTGGTTGTGCAATCACGAAGCCGACATTGCCAGCTGGGATTCATTCAAGGCCTCCTTTTCGCAAGTCTTCGACCGCCCTGCTGTGCGAAAACTCCGCGCAGAACAACGACTTCGTGAGCGCGCTCAACAGCCAGGAGAGACTTTTACCAGCTACATTGAAGACGTTGTTGACTTGTGCAAGCGGGTAAACCCAGCGATGCTCGAAGCCGACAAAATCAAACAAATCCTCAAGGGCATATGCGATGACGCATTTCAAATGTTGTTAGCCAAGGACCCATGAACCATTGCCGAACTCGTCAGCTTGTGCCAGAGTTTTGACGAGTTGCGCAAGCAACGCGCCCAAACACGGTGCTCTCTGGAACAACGTGATTCGATCGCGGCCTTGACTCTCGGAGACCAGAACGACATGTTGGCTCGCATAAAACAGTTCGTGCGTGAGGAGGTCGCTCGGCAGCTCTCCATTTTATCGAGCACGCCCGAGCCAGCACAAATGCATCCTTTGGCCCCAGATCATCTGGCCCCGGCCACAAGGCACGTCATACAAGATGAGGTAGCGTACGCTTTGCCTTTCGCTCGTTCACCACCTCTGGAGGCCGCACCCTTGACATATGCGCAAGTCGTTGCAGCCAGAGCACCTCGACAGCCCACCTATGCTACCTCACCGATCCCTGTTCGGTCATCACCAGTTCCGTTCAGCCGGCCGATTGCAGCGTTTCCGAATCCATGGCGCACCGCAGACAACCGCCCGATTTGCTATTCTTGCGGTTACGCAGGACATGTGGCTCGCTTGCGCCGCCGCCGCCCTCTCGTTCAGAGCGACACCATGCAAAGATCGTCGCACGACTCTCGGCGCTTTAACAACACCGCACGTCAACAAGGATCCTCTTCACCCGACCGCCCTCCCTCAGTCAGTCACCGATCTCCATCTCCCCGACGTCGCTCCCTGTCGCCTATGCGCCGTCGATCCTGCCCTTCACACGTGGAAAACTAGATGCCGCAGTTCCGGAGGCACGAACTGCATCGTTGTCGAAAGAATCAAGTCCTCGCATTTCTCCGACAAACCTCATCGACATTTTTGTGGATGGTTACCGTACCCTTGCGCTTGTGGACACTGGTGCTGCCATTTCAGTAATTGATTTAAAACTTTGCCGCATGCTTCGGAAGCTTACCACGACGCCAAAGAGGTTGTCCCTCCGTACTGCAAGTGCTCACCATATTCGACCATCAGCTGCCTGTACCACCCGCGTTCTCATCCAAGATGTTTTGTATACCGTTGAATTTTTTGTACTACAGGCGTGTTCTCATGATGTGATTCTCGGCTGGGATTTTCTGTCTTTAATCATGCGGTTATCGACTGTGCTCGTGCTGAAGTGGCCTTCTCTGCGTTGTGTGCCTCGTCTCCGGAATTTCCATTGAACAAGCTGTTTGTCGCTGACGACATTGACATACCACAGACTAGCGCAGCCTTTGTTCCCGTATCTTGTGCCGATGTGTCTAAGCCTGCAGTGTCGTTTACGTCTTCCCAAACATTCCAAAGTCGCAAGAGCCTCGCGTTGCCATTTGCAGTTCTAGATATTTCGGCGGGCGCTACCAAGTTGTTTGTCACAAATCCCTTGCCGTCTCCCACAACCTTGCGTCACAAAGAATGTATTGGAACATTCCAAGACTTAGACGTTTCCTCCATCTTCGACCTTGACGGTGAAAGTGATTTGCAGCTTAATGCATTGATGCCATCTGCCCATTCAATTGTCCATGAAAACAATAATTTGTTTGGCCCTTCAATTGATGGCGAACTTGAAGAACCACACCCCGAAAAGCTTCTAGAACTTCTTCACCAGTTCCGTGGCTCGTTCGATTGCCAGCAGACGTCTTTAGGCCGAATGCACACCGTTGTCCATCACATTAACACCGGCTCCCAAGGGCCTCTGCGACAGCGTCTCTACCGTGTATCTCCTGTTGAGCGTCGCGTGATCACCGAGCAAGTCGCCGACATGCTTCAACGTGACGTCATTCGGCCGTCCAGCAGTCCCTGGTCTTCACCTGTGGTACTTGTGAGGAAAAAAGACGGCTCGATTCGCTTTTGCGTCGATTACCGCCGTTTAAACAAAGTCACAATTAAAGACGTATACCCTTTGCCGCGCATCGATGATGCCCTGGACTGCTTGCAAGGCGCTGAATTCTTCTCATCACTAGACCTACGGTCCGGTTATTGGCAGGTCCCCATGGCACCATCAGATCGTCCAAAAACCACTTTTGTGACGCTCGATGGGCTATACGAATTTAATGTAATGCCCTTCGACCTTTGTAATGCGCCAGCCACATTCGAAAGGATGATGGATAGCGTCTTGCGTGGGCTAAAATGGAAGACATGCCTATGCTACTTGGATGATGTCGTTGTTTTCTCCCCTGATTTCGACAGCCACCTCCATCGTCTCAGCGAAGTCTTGAGCTGTCTCACCAGCACAGGCCTTCAACTAAACATCAAGAAGTGCCACTTCAGAGCTCGGAAGCTCACAATACTTGGTCACGTTGTCTCAAAACAGGGCGTCCTCTCAGACCCAGAGAAGCTTCGTGCTGTCGCTGAGTTCCCGAAGCCTACGACCGTGAAAGCGCTTCGCAGCTTTGTCGGACTATGCTCGTACTTTCGCCGCTTTGTGAAGAACTTTGCTTCGATAATCGCACCACTGACACAGCTGATCTCTGGCGATGGACACCTCTCTGATTGGTCGCCAGCATGCGATGATGCTTTTGCAACATTACGCCATCTCCTTACTTCACCACCTATTTTATGCCACTTCGACCCTACTGCTCCAACCGAGGTGCACACGGATGCCAGTGGCATAGGACTTGGCGCTGTCCTTGCTCAATGCAAGCCTGGCTTCTCGGAGTATGTAGTTGCGTATGCCAGTCGCACCCTAACCAAGGCAGAGCACAAATACTCGGTTTCCGAAAAGGAATGTTTGGCCATTGTTTGGGCATTACAAAAATTTCGTCCTTACTTATATGGACGCCCATTTGATGTAGTGACAGATCACCATTCACTCTGTTGGCTCGCTTCATTGAAGGATCCTTGGGGCCGGCTTGGACGTTGGGCGCTACGTTTACAGGAATTTGATATTCACGTAATTTACTGCTCAGGCCGCAAGCACACCGACGCATATGCTCTTTCTCGTTCGCCCCTTCCTTCAGCCGTTGCACCTGTTTCCTTCGCCGAAGCTACCATCGGCAGCATCGATACCGCCGACATGCCTTCGGAACAACGCAAGGACCCTTGGATTGCCTCGCTCATCGACGTTCTCTCCTCGTCTTCGGTGACACCACGCCAGCATCTACCTCGTGCACTACGTCGGCAAATTCCCCATTATGCAATACGGGATGCCATAAATAAATAAAAATGTTGTACCGTCGCAATTTTCAGCCGGATGGTAGGAAATGGCTTCTTGTTATACCTCGCCATTCGCGCTCCAACATGTGCGCGTACTTCCACGCAGACCCTCAAAACGCGCGCGCTGGCGCTTTGAAAACATACGACCGGCTTCGTCAGCGATTTTTCTGGCGTGGAATGTACTCGTACGTTCGCAAGTACATACGCTCCTGCACTGAGTGTCAGCGACGGAAAACAACTTGTCATGCCTCTGGCGAATTACAACCATTGCCGTGTCCAGCTCGGCCGTTTGATAGAATCGGCATCGACCTCTACGGCCCAATACCTTGTACTCCTGCGGGAAATCGCTGGATTATTGTGGCCGTTGACCACCTAACCCGCTACGCTGAAACCGCCGCTTTGCCAGCCGTTGCTGCTCGTGATGTCGCCTTGTTCATCTTGCGTAGCTTTGTCCTTCGCCATGGTGCGCCACGTGAGCTGCTTAGCGACCGTGGGCGTGCGTTTCTATCGCAAGTCGTCCAGGAGCTTCTCAGTGAGTGCAATATTATTCATCGCACCACTACAAGCTATCACCCACAGACAAACGGTTTGACAGAGCGCTTTAACCGCACGCTCGGTGATATGCTTTCTATGTACATATCCTCCGACCATTCTAATTGGGACTTGGTGCTCCCTTTCGTGACGTATGCGTATAATACGGCCACACAAGCAACTACTGGGTTTTCACCTTTTTTTCTACTGTACGGACGTGAGCCCTCTTCTACGCTTGACACGATACTT